TTATACTTCTGGGCCTATGGATTGGCATTGCTCTATCTGTCCTCCCTAACCGAAAGGAGAAGTTTACCTTAGTATGAGTATTGAGGGAGTCAGCCTCGGCTATTATTTCCATCGTTTCTGGACTATTCTTGGACTCCTCCCACTACCATGAAGGCAGTGGCGTTTTCCAATGTATACTACCTAAGACTTATATACTTTTCCGTTGGACTCTTAAATCATCATGATTGATCCCCTGGTTATAAGCCATAACTACTCCCAGTAACAAATGTATTCGGTGTCGGAACTCCTCGCCTGCGAGATTCTCCCCACTCGCAGGTTTGGCCCTCCACATTATCGAGGGCCTATCTCGATGACGGACTTTGGAGTCCAGAGAGATGGCATGGAGCAAGGAAGAATTTGTGGGATTTTTTAGGGAAATTTTTTAAGATTTTAAGGGGTTCTGGAGGGGGGTTTGTAATGATCTTTCTAGAGAAATTGGGAAGAAGACTCTGGGGGATGGGGGGGGAAATCCACCAGGGTCAGAGCCGAGCCCGGCACAGGGTAACGATTTGGGAGATGTTGGTCGAGGGACTGGGAAAGGGATGGGGACGATACCTATGAGGTTTGTACCATCAGCACGGTAGATGGGAGGGGCAGATATGGCGGGAGCAGGGGACCATATCATGTGTTGGGGGCTCGCACTCGCTGTTTGAGAGCAATTGCTTGCCCCGGTCCCCATGGCTCCTCTTGGAGACTAGGTGGCTTAGATACTCAGGATCTGGGCCTTCGGCTGATGTTATGCAATGCCAGGTCCGTGGTTAATAAGGCCCCCCTCATTCACGATCTTATACAGGAGGGAGGAGCGGACCTGGCGGGTATTACGGAGACCTGGTTGGGCCCGGAGGGTGGCGTCCCTCTGGTTGAAATGTGCCCACCAGGCTTCAGAGCATTCCATCAGCCGAGGGCCCAGGGGAGGGAGGGGGGTGGCGGTTATTATTAACGAGGATCTGGATCCGAGGGAGACCACTGTGCCTCAGATAGCCGGATGTGAGTCCCTCCTTGTGAGGTGGGGCCGTGGGGTTCAGATGGGCTTGTTGCTTACGTACCTGGCTCCCTGCCGCGTGGCAACAGCCCTTCCTGAGCTACTCGACGTGATAGCCACGGTGGCAGTAGATACACCCAGCTTTTAGTCATGGGTGATTTCAACTTGCCATCTGTCGGTGAAACGTCTGAGGTGGCTCGGGAGTTCATGGCTTCCATGACGGCCATGGACCTGACCCAGTTAGTTCATGGCCCTACTCACAGGGAGGTCACACTCTGGATCTGATTTTTGTCTCTGGCCAGTGGTTGAGTGGTCTTGTTATAGGGATATAGACATGGAACCCTTGTCATGGACTGACCACTCACTCCTTCGCCTAGATCTTCGAACCGCGACCCCTCGCCGCAGGGAGGCGGACCCAATTAGATGGATCCGCCCCAGGCGCCTGATGGATCCTGATAGGTTCCAGACGGAGCTTGGGCCATTTCCTGAGGATCTAGCACATGACTCGGCCGAGGACCTGGTAGCCGCCTGGGATCGGGCGCTGGTGGTGCCTTGGACCGAGTTGTGCCTTTGCGGCCTCTGACCCGATGCCGATCCCGGTGTGGCTCCTTGGTTTACTGAGGAGCTGAGGGAAATGAAGCGCCGGAAAAGACGCCTGGAGAGCGGTTGGAGGGCCAGTCTCGCTGAATCTGATCGAACACTGGTAAGGTCGCATATTAAGACCTACCTAGTGGCGATAAAGACGGCAAAGTCTAACTACTTTTCCGCCTCTATTGCGTCATCAGGGAATCGTCCGGCCGCCCTGTTTAGGGTGACCCGCGCCCTGCTCCATCTGGGAGTGCGGGAGGATCCCTTAGAAGGCAGGGCGGAGGATTTCGGACAATACCTGTATGACAAAATCGCTCAGATCGGGGGGATTTGGACTCTGACTGGGTAGATCAGGGCAGGGTGACGAGGAACAGTCTTGAGAATGTTATCTGGGAGGAGTTTGATGCTGTGACTCCCGATGATGTGGACAGGATTTTGGGGAGACTTAGTGCGGCCACATGTTTACTGGACCCGTGTCCCTCCTGGTTGGTACTGGCTTCCCGGGAGGTTACACGAGGCTGGCTCCAGGGCGTTATTAATGCTTCCTTGAGTGAGGGTCACTTCCCCGCTGCCCTGAAAGAGGCGGTGGTGAGGCCTCTCCTCAAGAAGCCGTCCCTGGACCCAGCAATATTGGCTAACTATCGTCCTGTCTCCAACCTTCGCTTCATTGCGAAGGTTGTTGAGAGTGTGGTCGCGCAACAGTTTCCACAATTCCTGGAGGAAACATCCTATCTGGATCCGTTCCAGTCAGGTTTCAGGTCTGGGCACAGCACGGAAACGGCATTGGTCGCGCTGGTTGATGATCTCTGGAGGGCTCGGGACAGGGGTTATTCCTCTGTTCTGGTCCTATTAGATCTCTCAGCGGCTTTTGATACCATCGACCATGGTATCATGCTGCACCGGCTGGAAGAGTTGGGGGTGGGAGGCACCGTGTTACGGTGGTTCTCCTCCTTTCTCTCCGACCGGTCGCAGTTTGTGTTGGCAGGGGGGCAGAGGTCGACCTCGAGGCCTCTCATTTGTGGAGTGCCGCAGGGATCGGTCCTCTCGCCCCTTCTGTTCAACATTTATGTGAAGCCGCTGGGCGAGATCATCCGTGGCTTTGGGGTGAGATACCACCAGTACGCTGATGACACCCAGCTGTACATCTCCACCCCAGGCCACCCCAACGATGCCCTTGAAGTGATGTCCCAGTGCCTGGAGGCTGTGCGGATCTGGATGGGGAGGAACAGGCTCAGGCTCAACCCTTCCAAGACTGAGTGGCTGTGGCTCCCGGCATCCCGATATAGTCAGTTGACTCCATCACTGACTATTGGGGGCGAGTCTTTGGCCCCCACTGAAAGGGCTCGCAATCTGGGAGTCCTCCTGGATAGGCAGCTGTCTTTGGAGGAACATCTGACGGCTGTTACCAGGGGGACCTTTTATCAGGTTCGCCTGATTCGCCAGTTGCGGCCCTTTCTGGATCGGGATTCCCTGTGCACAGTCACTCATGCCCTCGTCACCTCTCGCCTTGACTACTGTAACGCTCTCTACATGGGGCTCCCCTTGAAGAGCACCCGGAGGCTCCAGCTGGTCCAGAATGCAGCAGCGCGGGTAGTGATGGGAGCAACATGGCGCTCCCATGTAACACCACTCCTGCGCGAGCTGCACTGGCTCCCGGTGGTCTTCCGGGTGCGCTTCAAGGTGTTGGTTATCACCTTTAAAGCGCTCCATGGCATAGGGCCTAGCTATCTCCGAGACCGCCTGCTGCTACCGATGACCTCCCATCGACCCGTGCGCTCCCACAGAGAGGGCCTCCTCAGGGTGCCATCAGCCAAACAATGTAGGCTGGTGGCCCCCAGGGGGAGGGCTTTCTCTGTGGGGGCTCCCACCCTCTGGAATCAGTTGCCCCCGGAGATAAGAAGAATCCAGGACCTCAATGCCTTCCGTCGTTCCCTGAAAACCTATCTTTTTCAGCAAGCCGGGTTGGCTTAAGAAGAAATTTTAAAATTTTTAAATCCTTTTAATTAGTCTGTGATTTTTAATTTTTTGGGCCAAATTTTATATATATTTTTAAATGTTTTAATATTTGTATTCTATGTTTTTTATCTTGGCTGTACACCGCCCTGAGTCCTCAGGGAGAAGGGCGGTATATAAATTCGAAATTAAATTAAATTAAATTAAATTAAATTGGTTAGACAGATAAAAGAGAAAGGCCCAATCAAGAGGGTTTATAATGTTTTGTTAGAAAGAGACTCAGAAAATGATCTGGTTAAAGATTGTATGATAAAATGGGCGCAAAATTTTGGAGAACCAGTTATGATGGAAACTTGGGAAAAATATGGGTTCAGAATGTTAAGTTTACACAGTCGCAGAATTTAAGGGAGAATTTTTATAAAATGTTTTATAGATAGCATTTAGATCCTAAGAAATTGTCATGCATATATCCTAATGTTCAACCAAAATGTTGGAGATGTGATTGTTTGGATGCTACATATTATCATATATGGTGGACTTGCAAGAAAGTGAAGGCTTTCTGGATAAAAATTTGGTGGGTTATGCAAAATGTTTTGAAGAAAAAACTCCAATTTTCTCCTCAATTGTTTTTATTGGGTATAGTTAAGGGTTTTTCAATGGGTGAAACAAAATTGATATTGTACATGGTGACAGCAGCTAGGTTACTGATTGGTCAATATTGGAAAAGGGATGTTTTGCCTACTATTGAAGAATGGACTTTGAAGTGGCCAGTTTTGCAGAAATGGCGAAGATATCAGCATACTTAAAAGACCGGACTCAAGAGACTTATGCATGGGAGTGGAAGAAATGGATAGATTATGTGCAGAATAAATACCAAACTAGGAAGTATCAGATAGCTTTTAGTTGAATGTTGTGTAGAAATGTATAGTATATAGGGGGTAGAATAATTCAATGTTATGTAGAAATGTATAGTAAACGGGGGAGATTAGAAGGGCAGTAAAGTATGATATAATATGATGTGAATTTGGATTTCACCTTGGGGAAGTCATGGGAGAAGGGGAGGGCTAGGGAGGGTTAGGGAGGGAAAAGGGGGGGGGAATGGGAAAATTTGTACTTGTAAAACTTTTTCAATAAAAAAAAAAAATATGTTTACAGTGACAAGTGAATAATTGTCTCCTTCTCAGCCAGCTTCTCTGAGTTATTGCGTTGTGCAGTGTTGTCTCTGCACCTTGAGGAGGCTCACTTGTTGCAGGAACTCCAGTGACATTTGACCATTTTTTCCTTCTACTTGGGACCTGCAGGAGGAGCAGATTCCTCGGTTCAGGAAAGGGAACGAGGAGCCCTTGCTTACAACGCCCTGCAGATTCCTTTGTTGTCTGCATAATGGGTGGAGTCTCCTTTCCTCTTCTTTAGCTAACCACCTCTCTTTTCCTTCCAGGAGCTAAGAGCATGGGGTGCTCTCCCTCTACCCCCACCATGAATTCCTACTTCTACCAGTTCATGATCAACTTGCTCAAGAGGTTTAGCAGTGAGCGGAAGCTGCTGGAGACCCGGGGAGCTTTCATCATCAGGTGAGCCCAGGCTATGTCTTCTCCTCCCTCTGAGTGGTTTGTCTTTGATGGGTCGCCATGATTGGAGCCTCCTGATAGGCTCCTGGCTCTGGCCCTTTTCTGGAGATGGAGCCAGAAAGAACAACCTCCTGACCATCAAGTTAGTAGCAGTACTGTTTGGTCCTCACGAAAAAGAAAAAGTTGCCAGCACTTACTAAAGGATCTAAAATTATATGCCTGTGTTTCGGAAATGCTCTTCAGCAGCTGACCATTCTGAAATCTAGAATTATCCTGAGATAAATTCCTGTGGGCTTTTGCAAAATTAATTGCCTCCAGGCCCTGTTTTCAGGTCATCACAAATATTGGAGAGAGACGTAATTCTTTGTCAGTTATTGGATAACCTCATCCTAGATTGGTTTGGGTCTGGGGTCCCCAGCGGGCCAGAGCAAGGGCTCCAGCTTTAGGGATTACCTACTGAAGAAGGGGAGTAGAAAAAGCAGCTGAATTCCCAGCAAAGTTGATTTGGACCTGTGTGGCTACTGCTTGCCTGTGCAGTAGCCTCTGAAAGGCTCACCTGTCAGCCTGGAGGAGGCAGTTTGGAGGACTAGACACACATCTGGCAGCTTGAGAGCATGCAGTCACAAAATGGTTCCCAAGAGACTTGTCTCTTGATAAAATGGTAGTCCCATTCAGCAAGATCATTCAAAACTCCATTTGCCTAACCCTTACTAGTTCCAGTGGTTATTTACAAGCATTCTAGTGCAATTATCTTGATGACTTGCAACATACCAGCGTCTTTAAAAAAAAAAAAAAAAGTAATTCTCAGGTGGGCAGAGATCCTTTTGACCAAGGAAGGGAACGTCTTGGGGAAATAGGTTCGCCATCACGGGTCTATCGGCTTGGGCTTTGTCTGCAGCACTGCCTGAGGCATTTGGGGGAAATATTGGGACAGGATGTGCCTGTCTTTCAGCAGAGGGCAGGACTCATCTCCCCTCGGCACTGCTGGGCTGCTCTACCAGGGCCTCTCAACCCCTTGGGCTTCATCTGGCACCTCCCTGGTAGTGGATCCTACAGGCCTTTCCTCAGGATCAGGCTGGCAGGGGAGAACAGGGCACTTCGGTGTAGAGTCTGGGCAACTGAATGAAGCTAGCAGAATGTTAATGGCCGGATGCCCTTCCTGTCGCCAATGAGGAGTTTTGTTCAGCAGATATATTCTCATTGTGCCCAGAGAGAGAAATATCTGCCTCTACCTAGGATTGAACTCACAGCCTTCAGATGGTGAGGCGAGAGCACTATTCCCAGAAGATAAAAAGACAATAAACAAACAAACAAAAATAAATAAATAAAAATCCAAAAGAAAGAAATCTGTTAAAATGAATGCATGTGCATCAGAAACTCATCTCTTAAGCAACAAATTAAATTTTGATCATATTGAGTTATTGATCAGACTTTTTGCTGCTTCAGTTAAAAGCTACTTCATATGCAGGAAGTACACAGGTATTTGTCATCCGGGCTTTAAATATGATGCACAATTACATCATTCTTAGGAATAAAACCATTTTAGTGACATCAGCATACATATGATAAATTAAGTTCTTTTCTCTCTAATGTACTCCTCTTATTTTGAGTTTTAACTTCCAGATTTAAAACCCAGGCGATTCTCCAGCCCCCAATGCACTTGAATAGTGAGTCCCAAATTGTTTCTAAATGTGACCATGAAATTCCCAGGCTGGTCTCCCTTCCCCTATTGCTCATTTGGCTCATTCACTTTCAGAAGAATTGTGGGCATGTTTTACTTCCCTGTGGCCCATTTTTCTCCTGGTTTGATGACTCTCCAGGTGTTCTGCTGCTGGACCTAAAATGTACTTTTTAATCGCCGTGAGCAAGAAGGCCTTTTCTCATGAAGGCTTGCCCTTGTAAGCGTAGCCCAAGTATGGCTGGCCCTCCTTGTTCATCTTTCTTCAGAATCCCTCCTACACCAATTCCTTCTTCCCTTTTCTCTGCTGTTGCTCACAACCGCCCCTCTCTTTGCTTTGGCTGGCTTCTCCCAAGCCCTGGTGACAGCCAAGGTCTCGGGACGCCCCAGGAAAGTGGCCCAGAGGCATGGCTGATTCAGAGCCACTCCCCGGCCAGGGTTGGGAGCTATTCCTTCAAAGACTTGCATTTTTCCTTGTGAAGATGTTGTCTTTTCCTCCTGCACTTCTTTGTGGAGAAGGCTGGATGGGATCGACTTAGTCTCTGTCTGGATCCACCTGGGTGGACCCTGGAGCCCCTGGATGGGCAGCAGCCTGGAGGAGAAGCGGTCTCTGAATTGGTAGTTTTTCCTATGGTCACATTTACATTTTGTTACCCAGCAGGTGCGTCAAAAGGTGGGTGCCAAAACTCCCAGCCTCAGGATATGGACTGAAATGTATTAATTGATCAAATTGATTTGGGCATATTGCCGAAAACTATTTATTTTATACCCTGCACCTGCATGTGATTGGCTAGAAACAGGTCTCTTCATATTAAAGGAATCCAAATAGTGACATAGAAAATAATAATAAACTAAGCTTTGAATTCATATATTCTAAATTTCTGAATTTCATGTTTCTTAAAAGTTTGCCCTTTTCCAACAATTTCTTGTCCACCCAGTTACTGGATTAAATTTTAAATCTTTGCTTTATCAAATCATTTTTTCTCTAAGGTGTAAACACATTTTCAACCAAGTCATGGGGATGGAGCAATAACTGCAAAAACAACACCATTGAGTATGTATGTTTCGGTAGTATGACTCTTAAGAGGCCCACAGCATATTCTGAACAGTGCTTATTCCTGCTGTGTTGTTTAAAACAAAACCAGTAAGGCAAATGTGATAAATGTCCCAATTCATAATTTGTTGCGATCATCCTGGCGGGCTTCCCATGAGTAGTCCAGATTAGAGAATACACAGGGCAAGTGTTTCTCGGGATGAGAGAGCAAAGCACACAGCTCCGCAATCTCTTTTATTAGTAATCAAAGTACAGCGTCATCAAAAGGCGTTATTATGGCTACACATCTCATATTACATACATGAAGAAGAAAAGTATCCATATATTCTCCATATAGGTTTCACATTCTACAATATTACAGTAAATCACGTGAATTCTAGGAAAGCGATACCTAATGCAGAAACAAAACTTAACTCTGGCTATGTTATCATATTTGGCTTCGTTCTCCTCTGCCAGACGAGAGGCCCATCTCCCCGTTATCAGAGGTTACCTCAGTCCTCAGGAATGTTCTACAAGGAGATGTCTCTGCTATGCAAACACAGCCTATGTTCTACAATATTATGAACAAAGAGAGAACGAATGGGGCCCTTCAGTGATCATCCAGCTGAACCCGCCTTTTTCCTACTCAGATTATTTCGGTGCCAAGCTCCATACACGTGTCCAACCAGCTAGACTGGTCTACACATATACTATGGCCACCTGATTCCCACAATAATTGCATTTTGTATGCATACTTGGGATTCTTAATGGGATAAACAATCAGAATAAAACTGATATGAGTGAAACTGAAGTGAAGGAATGCTGGACGTGTTCTTCGGAGACTTTCTGGGAAGGAGAGAAATATGAGAAAATATGAAAATGATACCAGTGGTATGAATGTTAATGTCCAAGAAAACATAACAAAAATGAAGTCACAAATACAATATAAAGGTTGAGGAAGAGTAGGATGTACCATCTGTGGGAATTATTAAAATATGGATGTATCAAGTGACATGGGAAACTGGTGAGCGTGTGACAAGCATTTCTCCGCTTGGCAACTCAGAGAATGTGGTTCCATTATCAGTGCAGAGAGGAAAGGCAGACGGACAGATGGAAGGATTAGGTGGCTCTCTGCACCTGGAAGAGGCTGACAGGACCATCGCTGAGAGGCTTTGAAAGTTTTGGGAAGTGATTTTGCTCCTCAGCAGGACATGAAGAAATGTGTGAATTGTATATTGGTTGATTTTAAAGAAAGGATACGATAAAGCTTCAGTGATGGAATGTTGTGCATGAGAGTTGCTAAACGGAAAAAGTATACAGGGAGTCCTTGACTTAATAACCATATGTTTAACACCGTTTGAAGTGCTGAAAAAGGTGACTTACGACCAGTCCTTGTAGTTGCGACTGTCATAGCATTCCTCAGTCACAAGATCAACATTCAGGCCTTCAGCGACCAGCATGGGCTTATCAGAGTCGCAGCATCCTGGGGTCACAGGCTGCCTTGGCTGAAAGACTCCATTTTCCCAGCAAGGCCTGCTGTCTGTCGGCCTGATGGCCGTTCAGTTCTGGTGGGCTTGAGGGTTGGTCCCAGAAAGAGCAGCCCAGGGAAGCTACATCCAGGTGGGCAGGTTGTGAGGAAACGTCCCAGGTCACAAAAGTGAAATGGAAAAAAGGCCTCCCCTTAGCTGTTTATATTTTATTTTATTGATTAGTCTGTTGACCACACATACACACACCTTCTAAAGGAAATGACACCAATTTTCTTAGTATCCCGGTATCTGGTTCATTTGCCTGAGGCACATCGTTGCCGCTGAATAGGAGCTGCTGAAGTCGCTGCCTCCCAGCCAGGGAAAAGTCAGAACTTTCTGGAAACTGGCCCCTCCTCCTGGGCCAAGGCCCTCCTTTTCTGCTGTGACGTGGTCACCTGGTCTTCCGGTTTCTGGTGCACATGTGCGTGCGAAGGCCAGCTGGCCTGGTGCGCATGCGCGCACTGGGAAGATGATTTTCCTGTTTCTGGCATGCACACATGTGCCAGCCAGCTGTTCTTCGCCCGTGCATGCGCACAAGAAGACCAGGTGGCCAGTGTGCATGCACACACCGGAAACTGGAAGATCATCTTCCCAGTGTGTGCATGTGCATCGGGCAGCTGCTCTTCCAGTTTCTGGTGCGCTCATGCGTGTGAAGACCAGCTGGCACGCCGGAACCTGGAAGAGCAACATGCGACAGCTCACGTGCCTGGAGAGATGGCTCTGCGTGCCAATTCCAGCACGCGTGACATAGGTTTGCCATCATGGGCCTAGTATCATTCATGCAAGGTTATTTTTAAATGGTTTTACATTTGTCCATTCCTTTTTTATCTTATTTCTATTTAGGTTGGTTTGCCTTTTGTATATTTCTATAGACTTGGTTCTCCTGTCCTTGTGGCAGTCCTGATTATATGAGGGTAGCTTGTGTGCTTGCTGTCTCGCCTTGTTTGTGGCTCTTGAGTCAGTCTTGCTCTTGGCCACTGCCTGGATGAGCTCGGCCCTTCTCTCCCCCCCCCCCCGAGACCAGGGGTGATCATTGCCACTTTCCTCCTAGGGCCAAGGGCTCCCAGCAACCCCCAGCCAGCTTTGAACCTAAGGATGGACTAGAACTCACTGCTTCCTGGTTTCTAGCCTGGTCTTTGAACCATCACATCAGTTGGGATCCCACTTGGCATCACAGGATCTCACTGTTTATTCTGTACTGCTCTTTGGTCATAATAAAATTTGACTTGGTTCAAAAATAAAGGGTGGTCCCCTCAGAGGCAACTTTGGTCACCAGAGATGAACTCTGAGAAGTTAGAGGTTTCTTTATAGAAATGAATGGCAGCAAATTTAAAACACACTCGGGAATTAGAATCAAACATTAAACTGAGTTTGGCCTCTGATTCCCCCATCTTAAAAATATATTAAACAAGAAACGGCAGTAATTCCAGCAGATCTACCAAAAACAAAGTTTACATTCATGCCTAGCAGATTTTGACCAGGGCTGAGAGAAAACTTTGTGGTGGTTCCAGAGACAACCTGGGGAGGTTTAGTTGGGTGGTTCAAGCAGCGACTGGTGAGGTCCAACAGATTTGGGCATCATTGCCTAATTGGCTCCTGTGCCAGGTTCACCCCATGCCCTGGATTGGCACTGGGAGGAGGCATCTGAGGAGGCTTGTGTGCCAGGCCCAGTGCTTCTCCAGGCTGGTGCTGTAGGTAACTGCCAAGAAATTCTTTGCTTTTCCCACTTGGGCATAGAGTGTTCCACCTGAATGCATAAGCACAGAGGGAAAAAGGAGGCCAGAAAGGAAGGGGGGGGGATTAATTCATGATTGGCCATGTTTCCGATCTCAGTTTGGGAATTTCAAGCATTTGGTGAATTGAACGGGGAAAGGACGGTGGGAATTAGAGCTCAGGCTACCAGCAGGACATCGGAATAATTTTGTCCCGTTCTGACCAGTGTGTGTCATAAAAGTTTTTTAGATTATGGATAGTTCTTACTCTGGAGTTCCTTGCTCTCATATTTTAGTTTTCAAGCCGAGTCTAACATTGCCCATTAACAAAATAACAGAATTGGAAGGGACAACCTCTGGACCAACCCTCTGCTCAAGCAGAGTATAACCTTATACTATTTTAGACAAATGGTTGTACAATCTCTTTTTATGCTGCTGATCGAGGGAGGGAGGGAGGGAAGGAGTGGGGGCTTCTCTGTCATTTGGACTTGGGCGGAAGGCAAGAGAAGCCTCTGGTGAGGGTCTGGGCCAAGGGCTTTGGGAGATCCTACAGAGGAGATATCTTTCTTGGCTGCCCTTGAGGTTGGGGAGTGCAGAGCCTCCGTTCAGTCTCTGGAGAGCAGGATATGGAGCCAACCCAGTAATACCCCCCTCCTCAAAAGAAGGCACTGGCTGTCCAGAGGGAGGAGTGCTTAAGAGCAGCCTCTTGGCAAAAAGTGTTTGGGGAGGTCTGCTTCTGCTGGGTTGGCCTTGGAGTGAAACATCCAGGGACCCCACCCCTCATTTTCCTCCCTTGGCATCTTTTTCTCAGAGAGGCTCTGCACCCCTGCAAGGCCAAGAGGAGCTGGGGAGGTGGTTAATGGTGCGGGGGGGGAGGCTGGGGGGCCTGCCGGGCTGCTTTTCCTCCCAAGGCAGCCTAGACGTCAGCTGCCTTCGCTCCCTTTTGTGCACATCCAGGGAGGGGAAGGTAGGCGGGAGAACCTCAAGACAGCAGCAGCCCTGGGGAGTCCCAGAGTGAGACTCAGGAAGGGAGAGAGACCCTCGGTGGAATTCTTGGTCTCCTGAATGAGGTTGCCATCCAAGGTTGGAAATTGCCCAGCAAAAGAGGCAAAAGCAGAAGAGGCTCCAAAGACACCTTGCCCTTCGCCAGGTGCAAAGGAGCCCTTCCACCTTGTGCTTATCTTAGATATCTCGGGGGCTGCAGGGTGTTCTCCCTCTGCGCTGAAGTCTTTAAAACTGGGCACTGTGTTTCTTGGTGTCGCACAGGCAGCTCTGCCTCCTCTTGAACGCAGAGAACATCTTCCACTCCATGGCAGACATCCTCCTGCGGGAAGAGGACCTCCGCTTCGCTTCCACCATGGTCCACACCCTCAATACCATCCTCCTGACGTCTTCCGAGCTCTTCCAGCTGAGGAACCAACTCAAAGATCTGAAGACCCTGGTAGGTTGGAGAAAGGCTCTACCTCTCCCTGCTTGAGCTTCTTGGCTCCCTCCCAGCCCTCTGCTCAGATAAGATTGACTTCCTATGTGGCACCCCCATCTTTAAATAGAGGGGTCTGTTGAGCCCCCCCCCGATTATGTTGTGGGGCTACAGGGAGGGAGGGGGCACGAGCAGTTCTATGGGCAGAAGCCTGCTCTGCCCGGCTGAAGGAGCCTCTTGGGCCGCAGTCGCCTCCATGAACCTTGAGTGAGTCAGCTTTGGACAAATGTCAGCAGTGAAAATTGCTTCCCTCTAATCCTACCAGTTTCCTAGCCTTTCAGCTCCAGGAATCTCCTGGAGAAGATAGCTGAGTCGTTCTCTCCAATAGGGCAGGAGAAGGCCCTGCAGGGGGCACCTAGGGGATGGCCGGCAAGGGAGTGCTGTGGCACTGCCATGGACCCCCTCTGGGCCAGGGCTTGGGGGGAGACGCAAATTCCCTGTTGCCCTTGGCCGCTTCCTCTTCTGTGCTGCTGCCCTTCACTGCTGGGCAATTTTTCTTTTTCCTTCCTACAGTTTTCACAGTTTTGAAGGTAAACATTTGCTCGATTCTGTTTCAGTATCAGTTTACTGAAGTGTTAAAGTGTGAATCTGCATAAAACCCTGTGCCTTTTTGTACACTGTTTTGCAAATGTACTTTGTTTTGCAAACTGTTTCTTCCGGGAGGAACCATTTGGGAGCGGAGCACTCAGAAAATGCAAAACTAAGTAGAATTGAACTGCAAGTGATTTTTTTCCTCCCTGCTTTGTTTCCCCAGGAAAGCCGCAACCTCTTCTGCTGTCTCTACCGCTCCTGGTGTCACAATCCAGTCACCACCGTCTCCCTGTGCTTCCTCACTCAGAATTACAAGCACGCCTACGACCTCATCCAGAAGTTGTATCCTTTCAGGGGTCTGCCTGGCTCTCTCCCTCAGGATGCTTCTCAGGGTGGAGAGGAGGGGGGCTCTGCGTTTGGAGGGGGGCTGGAAAGGGCTTCCAGGCGAAGAAGCACCAGGAATGAAGGGGGATGGGAGGCTTGCTTTTCTCAATCCACAAGGGCGGCTGCTTCCTCCGCTGCTTGCCTAGGGCCTCATTCCACCAGGGAAAGAACCTTCATGGACCACCGTAGGTGATCCATGGGAAGCGAGACACACAACCTGGAGGTCTGGGTGGCACCGGGATTCAGAGGATTTGGCAGAAGGCCAACTGAAGTGCAGTTTCTAATTCAGATTAGCACTCTCGAACCCTTCGATTCACCTCCTGCAGGGGCAATGGAGGAGTCAGCAGTCTTCTGGATGCAAGCAGGTGCTTTTCTGTCCAATGGTTCTTCAGCCAGACTGATGGTCAGTCCCCTTTCCCAGGGCTGTGGAGCATGGCTGTATTTCCTTGCAAGCCCTCTGTGGAAATGGCTCCCCACTTCTGTCATTGTCCTACCCTGAGGACACTCTTGAAAAGATGCACCGGTGATTCCAAAAGATTTCAGAAACTTAGCAATGCAGGTTGGAGGAATAAACCTCTGTCATGCCATACTAGATGCATATCATGGCCTCTATAACCCTCGTGTTCTTCAGAAGAGGGCAGCTACAGGACCCCCTGCTTTCTGGTGGTTTGCTGCAATTTTCAGTTGGGGCTTTCAGGAACACCCCAATTCTTTCTTCGCACACCTGTTTTCTAAGGATCCCCCCCCACTTCTGAAGGTCACTCACAAAGAGCTGTCCTGAAGTGGGACCCTCTCTGTGTGAGCCTCAAAACTGCCTGGGGAGCCTGTTGGCGTTTAAATGCCTTGACTGCTGATCCAGTGGAGACCTGGAGGTTACGGTCGATTTCCTGATTGAGGTTGACAAACTGGTCCAGTTGATCGAGTGCCCGATCTTTACCTGTGAGTTTCCTTGCTCTCTGATTCTTCTTTGCAATATGTTGTGTGTTGTGGCAGCCTGTGTCTTCATTTAGTTATCTATTTATTAACATTTATATAGGCACCCGTCTTGAACCAACACTGGGCAATCCGAAAGCAACAGATTAAAAATGTCTATTTACAACAGAAAATGTTAAAACCACAAGAATTAAAACCAAATCAAAGCCAAGCACCATCAGTAAACTTTCACTTGCAGCCCACAACAAGTTCACTTCATCAATCTCACCCTAAACAAGCACTGGGGGCAGGTGGGGGAGGGGAAGCAAAGCCTTGAAGTGCTTTGGGGACAGTTGAAAGGCTCGGGGCCTGCCAGACCTCGGGGGGGGGGGGAGTCTTCCATAGGCATTAGAACATGGCAGCTTTTAAGAGAGGGGACTAGGAGCCTGTTTGATCTGGTGGGGCAGGCAGATGTCTGGAGAGGGAGGCAGCCCCACAGATAACCTGGTCCTGTGTCATGTAAGGCTTTGAAGAGAATAAGCGGCTTCTCAGATGCCATCTGAAGGAAACTGGGAACCAGTGCAGTTCAAGCAAAGGATACAATGGAGCTAAAACTGGGGCTAAACTATGCACACTGCCAAATTCTGGACCAATTGTAGTTTCTTCCCCCCCCCCCAGGTTTATCGGGTTTTTATTTTTAAACATATAACAAAATCAATACATGAACAGTGTGGTCTCTGGATATGGTTCATTTGTCATACAAATAACAACAGTCAATTATTACTTTAATCAAACTTATATAATCCTAATATTAATGTACTTGCTTATTTTAAAGTACTTATTCAATATTTCAATGTTCCATTCTAAAGTCAATGATCCTCTTGAACATACATAGTAATACCATCTTTCAACCTCTCAACTTTCCATCTAATTATTACTTATTTTCAATTTATATAGAAATTATAACTACTAATATTCCCCCTAATTCTTATTTCTACCTCTATTCTGGCTTCTAGTCAGGTCACACTTACTAATCCTAATGTTAAAACACATATTTATGTTAATACATAGTCCTTCATATAAGGGTGTATATTCTTATTTCTACTTCTATTTCTAGTTTTTAATCAGGCCATCATTATATTAGAAAAAAGAAGAAAAAGGAGAAAAAAATAGCTCTATTCTATCCATCATCCCTTGCCCGTTTTAATACTTCAATTCTTATTCGTTTTTTGGCTTTCCTCCCATACTCCTCTCTTGGATCTTTATCTCTGTCAACATCTGTATCTTCATTATTCCATCTAAATATTTCTCCTATTTCTAGTATAAGTATAAGTATAATTTTATTTCTATAGGACTCAGGGCGGTGTACAAACACAAGACAAACCATCAATTAAAAATTTAAAATTATTAAATAAATTTGGCTCAATTTAAAACCCCAGAAAATTTAAAATACTCCAATTTAAAATATTACGTTGATAGCCCGGCCTGGCGGAACAACAGGGTCTTCAATGCACAGCGAAATACCCGGAGGTCGGAGATCTTACGTATTTCTGGGGGCTTTCATTCCACAGGCCTGGGGCTCCCATAAAGAAGGCCCTCCCCCTGGGTGTCGCCAGCCGACATAACTTGGCCGATGGCACCCTGAGGAGATCCTCTCTGTGGGAGCGAACTGGCCAGTGGGAGGCTATTTATTTATTTATTTATTTATTTTATTGAATTTCTATACCGCCCTACTCCCGAAGGACTCAGGGCGGTGCACAGCCATGAAATAAAACACATAGATATACAAAATTTAAAATCAAATAAAATGAATTAAATAAATTTGGCTGAATTAGTACCCATAATTTAAGATACCCATATTTTAAAATACATTAAAAAATTTAAAATTTACACTTAAAAGGGAGAAGATTTAGGCGAGGCCAGCTTGATGAAATAAAAGCGTCTTCAACTCGCGGCGGAAGGTGCGCAGATCCGGAATCCTCCGTATCTCTGGGGGGAGCTCATTCCAGATCGTCAGTGCCCCCACAGAGAAGGCTCTCCCCCTAGGGGCCGACAGCCGACATTGTTTGGCCGACGGCACCTGAGGAGCCCCTCTCTGTGGGAGCGTACTGGTCGGTGGGAGGCTGTTGATGGTAGTAGGCAGTCCCGTAAGTAACCAGGTCCTAAGCCATGGAGCGCTTTAAAGGTGGTAACCAGAACCTTGAAGCGCACCCGGAAGACCACCGGGAGCCAGTGCAGCTCGCGCAGGAGAGGTGTTACATGGGAGCTCCATGTTGCTCCCATAACCACCCGCGCGGCCGCACTCTGTGCCAGTTGGAGCCTCCGGGTGCACCTCAGGGGGAGCCCCATGTAGAGAGCATTACAATAGTCCAGACGAGAGGTGACGAGGGCATGAGTGACTGTGCGTAACGAGTCCCGATCTAGAAAGGGACGCAACTGGCGAATCAGGCGAACCTGATAAAAAATCCTCCGTCAAGTGCTCTTCTAAAGACAGCCGTGAGTCCAGGAGGACGCCCAAGTTACGAGCCCTTTCCGTGGGGGCCAATGATTCGCCCCCAATAGCCAGCGATGGCGCCAGCTGACTATATCGGGACGTCGGAAACCACAGCCACTCGGTCTTGGATGGGTTGAGCCTGAGCCCGTTTCTCCCCATCCAGATCCGTACGGCCTCCAGGCACTGGGACATCACTTCAAGGGCATCGTTGGGGTGATCCGGGGTGGAGATGTACAGCTGGGTGTCGTCAGCGTACAGATGGTACTTCACCCCGAAACCACGGATGATCTCGCCCAGCGGCTTTACATAAATGTTGAACAGAAGGGGCGAGAGAACCGATCCCTGCGGCACCCCACATATAAGGGGCCTCGGGGTCGATCTCTGCCCCCCTGTCAACACAGATTGCAACCGGTCAGAGAGAAAGGAGGAGAACCACCGTAAAACGGTGCCTCCCACCCCCAACCCTTCCAGCCGGTGCAGCATGATACCATGGTCGATGGTATCAAAAGCCACTGAGAGGTCTAACAGGACCAGGACAGAGGAACAGCCCCTGTCCCGAGCCCTCCAGAGATCATCAACCAACGCGACCAATGCCGTTTCCGTGCTGTACCCAGGCCTGAAGCCCGACTGGAACGGATGAAGATACGACGCTTCATCCAGGTACTGGGGTAGCTGTCGCGCAACCACACTCTCAACAACCTTCGCAACAAAGCAAAGGTTGGAGACTGGACGATAATTAGCCAATACTGCCGGGTCCAGGGAAGGCTTCTTGAGGAGAGGCCTTACCACCGCCTCTTTCAAGGCGGCGGGAAAGACACCCTCACCCAACGAAGCATTTATAATCCCCTGGAGCCAGCCTCGCGTCACCTCCCGGGAAGCCAGCACTAACCAGGAGGGACACGGGTCCAACAAACATGTGGTCGTGTTCAATCTACCCAGAATCCTGTCCACATCATCTGGGGTCACAGATGGTGGCAGAAGTCAGTCTCGAAGGTACCCAGGTCCTATGCCATGGAGAGCTTTAAAGGTGGTGACCAACACCTTGAATCGTACCCGGAAGACCACTGGGAGCCAGTGCAGCTCGCGCAGGAGGGGTGTCACGTGGGCACAATGAGTTGCGCCCATAACCACCCGCGCGGCTGCATTCTGGACCAGTTGGAGCCTCCGAGTGCTCTTCAAGGGGAGCCCCATGTAGAGAGCATTACAATAGTCCAGCCGGGAGGTGACAAGGGCATGAGTGACCGTGCGCAAGGTGTCCTGGTCCAGAAAGGGCTGCAACTGGCGAATCAGACGAACCTGATAAAAGCCCCCCCTGGCCACGGCCGTCATATGCTCTTCTAAAGACAGCCGTGCATCCAGGAGGACGCCCAGATTGCGAGCCCTCTCTGTGGGGGGCAAAGATTCATCCCCAATAGTCCTCCTAGGCTGCCATATCTCCAGAGTATTCAACCATACATCTTCCAAATTATCCAATTCCATTTTTATACCGTGTTTCCCTGAAAATAAGACCAGGGTCTTATATTTTTTTGAACCCTGAAATAAGTGCTTGCCATGTGCTCAAAAGCCCGATTGGGCTTATTATCAGGGGATGTCTTATTTTGGGAAAAACAGGGTATCTCTCAAAAAGTTTTTCTCATCTTCTTGTTTTATTTGGTGGTTTGTTCTATCTTTTCCTCCATTCTTTCCGCCTCCTCCTCTCTTTCCTGGACTCTCTGATCTTCATTAATTGCCAGTTGTATCATATTTTTTACTTTGTCACTAATGTCTTGGGTTAAGTCTTTTTATCTCTCTTTGGTATACCATGGTATCATGGTATCCCTGATGCTTTGAAACATCCATGCCTTTTCTCTTGAAATCTCACTCATTTCCCCGTGAAAAGGCATCTTGTTTTAGTTTAATAAGTCCACTTTTAGTCAGGGCCACAAACAGTTCCAGTTTTGCTCATCAAAGAGTTCAGTAATCATAGCTCAGGGTTATTAATCAATTCCATTTAAATAGTCAAGACAGTTTCCACACAACAAAAGCCACTTTACTTAAGTCTTCCTTATCACAATAGTAAAATAATTAATTATAGGACAATTAGGATCACCACAATCCTTCAAAAACATGTTGCCTATTTCTTCTTCTTTCTTCTGTCAAAATTTTGCTAGATTTGATGGCAGCATCAACAGAGGTTTCAGTGTTGTTTCAAACGTGATAAAATCTAAATTTAATTCAGTTTATAGAGACAAAATTAGATACTCTAATCAATTCAGGTACATAGTACCAGCATATTCCATAACTACCCCTACCCAGTTTAAAATCCAATTTTCTTTGATTAGAAGATCTTTATCTTTTTTCCCCTCAGTTCCTTTCATTCGGGTCTAGGATTTTTCTCTCTGGTTATTTATAAAGGTTATAAATTACCTTTATAAAAGGTAATTCTAGGAGTCTCTTTTCTTCTCTGGATTTTCTTTTTTCCTTTAGGTTTAGGGACTAAATGCAAAAAAAAAGGTATCTTCTCACCCAGCTCCAATCACTATTCACTTAACGCCGCTCCAGCACCAGTCTTAGGTGTTCCTTGGTTGCCCCAGCTTCGTGGCAGCCAGATTTAGGCTGCCTCTTCTTCTCGTTGTGGCTGAGAGAGAAAGAAAAACCTCGGGTCAGGAAGGAGAGTTGTGACTCTCCGTGACCATGCAGGGCACCCCTCTTTGCTTTCCCTCCCCTACAGGGAAGCTTTGGCTCTCCTTGGAGCCCACCAACGGGGAGGATTCGGCACGGGAGGACAGAGACCCGCTCCTCGTATCCGATCTCGCTGCGATGTCAACCGGAAGTCGACCAATTTTAGTTTCTGAGTGGTCTTCAAGGGCAGCCCCCTGGAGAGTGCACTGCAGTAATCCAAACTGGAAGCGAATCCTGGTCCAGGAAAGGGTTTAATTTGCACAAAGGTTCCCGCAGGAGCTAGCCCCAGACTCAGTCCAGGGAAACTGGATTTAAGTGCGAACAGGTTGCCAAGCATGCAGATCATGTCATGTGACTGCAGGCTATAGTAATTGTGCAACATTTTGTGATGGCTAATAATGCTTTATGGGCCATAAAGCACTCATTCTGTGGCTGTCGTAACTCAAGTTTGTCATTAAATGACTGGTCCTAAAGTGAGGTCCTACCACATTCCTGCACCTGGTCTAGGAGGGAGTTCCCTAGGACCTCTGCCCTGGCTCTGCCCCCCCCCCACCCCCCCCCCCAGGTCTTCTCTTCTTGCTTGCTTTCTTACCCAAATTCTTTCCTGGCTCCCTCTGTTCGGCTTCCTGGGCTTCAAGCCATGGTGGGCTGCTGCCCTCGTGCGCTTTGGAGCCTGGCAGGCCCTGGGCTGTTTTGTTTCCCACAAGAAGCTTTTTAGTAGCCCACCTACCAGATAACTCGTCACTGGATCGCAGGTTTCAGGGACCCACTTCTGTTTCTGCCTCACCGCATGAGTCATACCCTGGCTTTCTTCCAGATCTCCGCCTGCAGCTGCTGGACGTGAAAAACAACCCATACCTCCTCAAGGCTCTCTACGGGCTGCTGATGCTTCTGCCCCAGAGCAACGCTTTCCAGCTCCTTTCCCACCGGCTGCAGTGCGTCCCGAACCCAGAACTCATGCAAACAGTGTAAGTTGCGCCTTGGCTAAATCTGCACTCGCTTTACAATATTCCCCACCCCCCTTTCCAAAGGGGAGCCCGCCCTAGGATGGAAGTGGCCTGTTGACTTGGCCACTTGGCTGACCAACGTTGTCCAGGCGGACACGTTGTTCAGCCACTTGCTCTTTCCAAGGCTGCACCACCGTTACCATTTGGGGCGCCTTCTGCACAAGGAGAGCCATGTTCAAAATAACCATTCAGCACAGGAGGCTGCACAGCAGGTAAAATGCCTTTGCTCTCTGCCTCAACCCCTCTAAGGGGCTCATCTGCCCTGCCTTGCAAAGGGCATTCACAGCTGCGCTTGGCCCCTCAGGGACCCTCAGAACTGGCATCCACTGCCTTGAAGGGTCCCGACTGAAGGGCCCTCGGTATGTTTCAAGCAAATGCCTGGCTCTACTGGGCCCTTGTTGGAGCACCTCAGCTGCTTTTTGGACTCCTGGTGTGGGGCTGGCAGGCAGCTGGGACTTTTCCCCTGGGTGCAGAAGGAGGGTTGAAAGACAGCATCTCAGCCCTCGCCTAGCTGGTCCCAGCTTTGTCTATTTTTGGTAACCTTAGAGAGCCGTTCCTCATGCCTTTGGCATCCAGGGTGGAAAATTCCCCTTGCAGTGTTGTCATGGAAACCGGCCCCAGGGCAGCAGCTGGAGCCATTTGCCGCCACCATCCCCCCAGGTGGCAGAGGGGCCCCTGGGAAATCCCTCGCCCAGACTCCCTTCCTCACCCCCTGGCCCTTCTCAGGGAAGCTAGGAAGAAGCCAGGCCGGCCTTGGACTCCTCCACCGGCCCTCCGGAACTGGTTCTTGGGAGAGGGAGGTGGGGTCCCTTTCTTCCTGAGCTGGATGGATGGGGCTCCACCTGGTTCTCTTGTGCAGGCCTTTTCCCCACTCTTTGACAGTCAAGGGCCTTGAGTTGAGCGCTCCAAGGCTTGGAGGGGAGTTCCCCCCCCCCGACACCTCTCCCCACACACACACACCCCCCCCCCCACAGCATCACAACCCCTTGAAGGCTTCTCTTCTTTGGGGCTGGACTCTCTTCCCTACTGCCTGGGCCTTGGGGTGCCTCGAAACCTGGGATTCCCATTTGCTACCAGCTGTTCCTTTCCTTTTGGGGCAGGGCTCCCCCCCATCATTTTTCCAGTGTGGGGGGGGAAGGCAACATGTGGGGGTAGGAGGCATATCAGCCCTGAGGAGTTGGAAGAGGATTTTTGGGCCTTCCAGAATGTCCATTTGTCCTAATAAAAACGTCATGCTGTGTGAGGGGCAGAGGGTCATCTAGTCCAGCCCTCACAGGGCACATTGCAGCCACCCTACCCCTAATGGGCCCGAAGCAGAGGAGCCATCCCAGTTGGAATGGGGGGGGCAGCAAAGAGATCTCCCACTTTTTCTTTGCGTAGTGGATGGTCAGCCCAGCCCAGCCTCTCTTCTAAAACCACATTACCCTCATTTCTTTAGGGCTGTCAGGCAGGTCCAGTGTGTTGAAGGTCAGCAGAGAATTTGCTTGAGCCTTGTAGGAAACTAAAGGAAATAGTCCCACCCCCAAACTGAGACTGCTGGGGGGATGGGACCCCCTTGACCCGGATAACCTTCCTCACTGGAATCCTGAATGTGGGTCCCAAAGGGCTTCCCAGTTGGGATGGGGGGGGGGGAAGGCCTTTGCGGTGGGGCCGGGCTGCCTCCGTATGCAAGTCCTACCCTGTAATGAGGAAGGGGGCCAGGAGACAGTGAGACCCCACCAGACCTGCCCTTTCCAGCCACCCTCAGAGGGGGCTACTGGGTGCATCTGGCCAGACGGGAGCCCCAGGGCCCAGGCTGCGCTGCACTTCTCCTGCTTGGCTTCAGCCCTCTCTGGGCTTGGGCTGGGTGGGGGCATGACAGCCTTTCAGGCGGGGAGGCAAGGGGCGATTCGGCCACCGGCTTGCCGGCAGAGCCTGCTGGAAGGCTGGCAGGGCGGGCTGTCGGCCGAATTTAAAAAGCAGGATTGCCTCGAGGGGCCCCGGTGCCGAACCCCCCGTGAGCGACCTGGGCCAGCTGACCCCCCGCCCTCTTTCCGCAGGGACCCTGCTAAGGCCGGCCAGGCCGCCAAGAAGACGGCCGCCAGCCCCGCTATCGACTACGCGGAGCTGCTGCAGCACTTCGAGAGGGTCCAGGGCAAACACCTCCAGGGCCGCCACCAACGGGCCGTGCGGGCGGGGGAGCCGCCGGAGCGCCGGGGGGCGGCCGCCTTCTGACGGTCCTCGCGAGGACGGGCCCCCTCTACTCCCCACGGACTCGCCGGACCGGGGCCTTTCTTCGGCCGACCGCATCGGAGTGCCGAGCCCGGACTTTGGGGGGAGGGGCGCCGCCGCTGCCCCCTCGCCGTGCGCGCTGGTCCGCGTGTTTGTCGCCGGCCCCGGAGGTCTCCCCGCGGGCGCTCCGGCGTCGCCCGCGAGTCCTGTGTCCCGTTGCTTGAATAAAGAGATTTAAAATAAAGAGGACTGGCCGTTGATGGCGCACCGCTCCCGCGGCCGGCTCTCCTGGACGTCGGGCAGGCACTGGGGGGGGGTTAGGGTTAAAGCGGGCCGTCCGGGATCCTGCGGGGCCGAGGTCGGCAGCGGGGAAGCCCGGCAGGAGAGCGGGGGGGGGCTTCAATTGTAAGAGCCAGGCTGGAAGGAGGCGCAAAGCGGCAGCTGATCCGGCCCTGCGGCGACCCTCGGGGACGGCCCGAGTCAGCCGTGGCGCTCCGCCGTTCCGGAAAGAAGCCACCTTAGCCCGCCAGCACCGACTGTCCGCGAGACCAAGAGCGGCTACCGTCTCCCGCCCAGTAGACACTCCGGGGCTCCCGAGCCGCGCTCCCTCCCGGGCGCCTCTGTCTCCGGAGCCCGGACCGAGCGCGCCGCCCCAGTTATCGGGGCTCCGGCTGAGGCGCGACGGAGGAGAGGGCGCCCCTCCCCGCCCACGTGACCGGAGCGCGCCCCCTCCCCGCGCCGGCATCCGAGGCGCGCGCCCGTCCCCCGCAGCCCATGGCCCGCCGCTGCCGCGTCCCCCGCGCCTCGCCCTCGCCGGCCCCTCCGCCGCCAGCCGCCCCGGCCGGGGAGTGACCGAGCGGGCGCGTCGCCGCCGCAGAGCCTCGCCCGCCGCGTCGCAGCAGCGCAGCGGAAGGGAGCGGAGCGAGCGGGCGGGCGGGCATGGAGGCGGCGGAGAAGGAGTGCGGGGCGCTGGGCGGCCTCTTCCAGGCCATCGTCAACGACATGAAGGTGAGCGGCGCGCAGCGGGCAGCGAGGGCGTCTCTGAGGACGTGCAGAAGGCGAGCCGGAGGAGCGGCCGCCGGGTCTGAGGGTCTTGGGCGCCCCCGCCCGGCCTCCGCCCTCGTCGCCGACGCCGCCGGGGCTTCGGGGCGGCCCGGCTCGCAGCTTGCGGGGAGGCTCGGGTCCCGTCTCCCGGTGTTGGGGCGGGGCAGCGCCTTCTCGGGCGGGGGCGCTGCGTAGCCCCTGGTCGGCGGGGGCCGGCCGCTGGCCCGAAGGAGCCGGGACACGCTGCGCCCACCCTCGGGGCGGCTCTCCAGCGGAAGTGGCCTCCTTCTCCCGTCGCCCCGGTCAAGGGGGGCCGGCTCGCCGGAGCCCTTTTCCCGCCCCCGTCCTGCACAGGTGCAGCAGGGAGCGGGGATGTTTCGGGCGGCGCCGGACCACCCGCGCTCCAGTGTAGCCTTCGGCGCAGGGCAGCTGCCTGTGCGGGCCGCCTCCGGGAATCGCCTCTCTCCCCCGCCCGGCGCCGCTGCCCTGGTTCGGCCCGGTGGGCAGGCCGAGAGAGGCTCGCTGCCTTGCCCTGTTTCTGCTCCTGCGAGGGCGAGGGGCTCCGCCGCCTTGGCTTTGAGGCTGCGGCCTCCAGGCGTGCGGCGGGTGCAGAGAACCCGCTCGAGGGGGCTTGTGCTCCCGGTGCCTTCAGACTGCGAGGGCCCCGAGGCCTTGCCCGCCCCTGAAACAAGCGGGTGGGTGGACTTCGGGATCTCAGCTCAGGATGGTGCACAAATCTGCCCTCCAGGATGGGGCTGCAGTGCTCTCAGGTAGAGAAGCCAAACGATCTGCACCTTGGTTCAGGTTCAGAAAAGGCACTGGAGGCTTAACTGGGTTGAATCCAGTTTGTGCCAGAATTATTTCATTTATTAATCTAATCTAATAGCCAACCCTTCACCAAAGGCTGACTCCCCAGGGTAACATTGATCTGGTGAGCCTTAGGAAGTGTCAGGCTTGGGAAATAGCAGTTCTAATCCCACCCCAGATTTTGAGCCTAGAAAGTGCAGCCCCAGACAGAAGTGCCTGAGAGCAAGATTGAGGTGGGGGGGTGGGGAGATTTTGGTCAATTGTTTGCTCCAGGAATTGGTGCTGTGCATTGTTCCACCCTTTCTTGCAAGGGCACCTTTACCTAAGGTTTACAATTCAACTCTTCCCTGCCCCCAAACTGTCTTCCTTGAGACTTCCCAACTTCCCTGGCAGTTGGCAGAGTTCTTGCCACTCTCCATCCAGCATAGTTTATGAGTTCTTGGTCTCCCCTCAAGAAGGAAACCACAGGGCCAGCAGTGGTGCTCTACCCAGGAGGTCCTGGGGGAGGGCAAGAAGAGAATTACAAGACTTTGGGGAGGGAGCAGTTATTGGTGGGTGTCTCTTCCCAGTGAGGCGCATGAGACACTCCACCAGGCAAAGCGGGGGTGACTGCTCCTTCGGAAGAGCTTTCCTGCTGCCATGGGAGAGAAAGAGGCCCGTCTCGGGTTGTCCAGCTGTTCTCTGCTGGATGCCCAGAGCCATCCTGGGATAACTGAGGGAGACGGGTGGTTCAGAAATGTGAAAAATAAACAAATTCTGGCCTGATGCACCACCAAGGTGGGAGGAATTGCTGGGTGCAGTGCATTTCCTGCCCAGAACTCTGCCCAGATCAGGCGAGTGAGCTGGGGTCAGGTTCTTTGCTGTCCAATATGGGCTGTAACTGGGGAGCCTGATCACAGCCCCTCCAGTCTGGTCAATTATGGCCCAGGCTGCATATTGACAAGTGCTGTTTGGATCTCTAAGACTGCTCCAGTTCACTGGTGAGAGGATTCCTAGCAGTTGGATTCTACCAGGGAATTCACTGGAAGTTATCTTGAGCTGCTTTGCCCACTCTTCTTTTGCTGGGGGAGTAACCATGGACTGATTGTGTAGGGCCCCCCCTCCCCCTACATGCCTCACTTGATGACTGAACTGACACTGTTTATAGGAAGCTTAAACAGGAAAGGGACCAACCAAATGGGTCGGATCCCATAGGCTGAGCGGGTGATGCAAATTTAAGTCTGCAGTCTTTGGTAGTTCTGCCAACCACCGTATGTGGTTTATTATCTTCCCAGCTCCAGTCTGGACTTGTAGCAGGAAGTCTGCTAAGCAAGAGATGAGAACATCTGAAGCGATTTAAGACAAAGCTGGAGCTCTGAACACAGCTGACTTTGGGGGCTGGTTTGCTCTTGTACCGAAGCCCAAAGAGCCTCGAATGGATCATGACAGGGTGAGAGGGCAAAGCAGAAGACATTGTAGAGGGCAAATAAAGCAACACACAGTTTGTTTCTTTATTAAACAAATTTATATGACCACCCGAGTTGCACATGGTGACTCCTGGTGGCTTACCACTTTAAAAATCCACAGTATGAAACCCCAAATACCCACTTATTTGCATCTTAATTTATGTAGATCAGGTAAAGAACATTTGAACACTCAGAGCTGCATTCAGTTTGGGGAAGGGTGGATTCCCTCCCCCCCAGTTTTAGGGAAACTATTTATGAGGACTTTATGATAAAATCTTACGGCATTTCAAAAGTCAGGTTGTTCATTTCATTAGGTTTTGTGGATTACTACATCCAATGCATTCGTCTTTACTGAACATTGTGCTTTGTACTTCAATACTAACAAGCTTCCCTCTAGAAAGCCTCTTCTAGGGATTTGTTTTGGGATTCCTGTTAATAATGGTGGAGAATTGTTTCTCCCCCCCCCCCAAAGATGGTTGGGGTCTGCCTGATTGCTCTCCTCTGGGGTCCATCCTGTTCAGCTGCTGCTGTGTCTCAGGGCAGGGTCAGCATCTGTACTAACTTGTTCATCCTCACCTCCCATTCTCACATGGTGGGCCATTCAGATCCAGCTCCAGAGGATTTGGCAGAGAATGAGCCAAGGGCCAGGCTGATGTTTAGGCATTCCGGTCAGCGGACCAGCATTTTCGGCAGACAGACAAGGCCCCTGGGGCCCTTCCAGCCCAGCCATTGGCCCAGAATATGTAACTAATAGCAGCTCCTAGAGAGGCCTTGGAAACCTGGTCGACCTGGGCCTTTGGGGCTCGCAGATGGTGCAACATCTGGGAATAGTCCTTGGCTTTCAAGTGTTTGATTGATCAATTTGCAAACATTTGTATTCTTACTATATTCTAGTGGCAGTTCTTACCTGATAGCATCCTAAAGGGATTTGGAGGCCTTCTAGTCCAACTTCCTGCTAAGGGCAGGAATCCTGAACATCCCAGGAAAATGGGACACTGTGCGGTGAAAGTTCACATTGCAACAATGTGACAGCCTTTTGAGGCATCGTGTGGGGCTGAGAATGTGGCAGAAGAGCTTCTGGCCCTCTGTTTGCTCGTCTCACTGTCCTGGTTGTTGTTCCAGGGTCTTTTCACGCTGCTGTCTCGCCTCTG